GCTATTATCTGAATACAAGGCGTACAATACAGCACTGAAGTAGAGGAGGTCAGGACGCCCTAGACATTGGGAATTCTATGAGGCATTGCAGCCCATTTTGCAGTCCATGGTCTCAGTGTATGCAGAGCTCACATTAGACTGGCACTTAAAAATCACTTTTTAGATTTTTGAAGGTCTTAGGGTGAGACTTTGTTTCTTTTGATGAAAAAAAAATCTACTTTTTAGCCCTGTAGGGAGGGAGGGAGGGAGGAAGGTAGGGAGGTAAAGAACGAGTAAAAACGGACCAGACCGGACCAAAAAATGACCGAAAAGCGACATTCCGTGTTCATTTTATCTTTAAAAAGTTTTAACTCAACCTGAAATCGAAAACCAAAAATAGTTTTAAATTGGGAGGTTATCACAATAATCGGACTAAACGAGGCGTCATAACGATAATACCGCTTGCATGAAGTCTCGTCCGATTATTGTGATAAAAACGTTCCAATTTAAAAACCCTCTTGAAGAGGCTGCTGCTGGAGCAGCTAAAAATCCACTTTACATTCCAGAGCTCGTTCTATACCTCATCCAGTACATGCTTCCTTTCTTTTCGCCCTGGTCAAGGTATTTGCAAAGTGTCATCATCAGCAAAGAGAACAACAAAGAGAATAATCATGCAGCTGAGCTCAGATTTAAACTAGTGAAAAATGAGACTTAAAAAAGAAAGAAGTACCACAAAACTTCAAGGTCTTTAGGAAAAATGATTGATGATTTCAATAAGAGAGTACTACTCGGGCATGAGTAGATTACCGATTTCAAGAAATACAAGAAGAGGAAGGCCACTGAAGGGGTGAAAGTCACCTCACCCAAGCTGAGGAAGCCATCTACGGAATGTTAGAAGGACAATTAAAAAAACGCAGGCCTTCTCGTGGAAACTTTTCTGTAGAGAAATCAAAAGAATATGGGGAGAAACTGTTGCAAAAGGCAACAGCGCTGCATGATTTGTTATTTTCTTTGCTGGAGTAGAATTTACACAAGGCTGGCATATGTATGATCAGTTATATTAATGTAGTCTCCCTTTGATCTAGGGTTTTACTGATTCTCAGGAGGAACCGAGAGGGGAGTTGAAAGACTCTTCACAACACCAGTGTGAGAATCAAAATAGTGCTAGTAAGGTAAGAGTTTACTTTACAGTACTTATATCAGTGATTAATTTAATTTAACTAGCTATATGTACGACAGACCACGTCTCGCGTAACAGGCTTCGCGATATCTCACGAAACTCTGTTGCGCTGCGACGCGCCTGGCGCACAAATAGCTAGGCCTGCGGCGCTGACACCCGAGACGAATTACGGAGAGGGTATAGGGGAAAAGGGCCTCTCGAGCCCAAAATCTGACATTGTCGAACTATTTGTCGGGGTCTTATTACTCTAAAATAAGGGAGATTAATCTTTTACTGTTCGGTAACGGTTTTCATTAAAAGTTCGAATTTTGTCAGATTGTTATGTAAAAATCTACGTTTTAGAGATACTAGATAATCTAGGGACCCTTAAGCCTAAAGAGGGTGTGGTTCGACCCATATTGTGTGGTTTAAGTATAACTCCCTTTACAATTCTCTGTCATGAAGCCTTTTTTACGATTTAATGGACCATTTTGTCTTTTTCACGTTTTTTTCGCCAAGAAATGCCCCATGGCGTCGAAACGGTTCAAGATAGAGCAAAACGGACGAAATTTTCGCCCAAAGGGTCCTACTTTCACGAGTTGCCCTTTAGAAGACCTTAAAAAAAACATTTGAAAAATAATAATAGTTTGTTACCTGTGGTTATTGATTTTTTAAAAAGTCAATTTTTGAGCTAGAGTGCTCATCTTCGAACTCGATCTGTCTTTTTATGATACAAAACGACCCTGAAATTTCCAGATCGCTCTCTCAATTCTTTCTCGAGTTGTCGTGCGGACAGACAGACAAACAGACAGACAAACAAACAGAATGAAACTTTTCCGGTCAGTGGAGTTATGGGCTTCGCTGATCGCTCAGCCAAAAATCTCCCTTGGTGGCAGGATTTTACCGCTGAATCTTCTCACGACATAATGAAATAGAATAAATTCTTGAATCCTCGAGAGAATATTATGTTTGAGTTTGAGGTCCCTGCTGACTTTCTAGGTGGTAGTCCATATAGTCCTCAACAGGATCGCAAAGAAAACGCCAAGAGCACGATGGGCACGGGAGAGTTAATAATAATCATGTTGTTTTTCCAGCATTTTTAGTCTATGTTGTCAACCATTATTATTACCTGCTACCAAAATCCACTCTCATGTCAAGCAGGATTCGGTGGCTGGATGAGAAAATTATCTTTGCAGCAAGACTTCCTGAAAAGATGCATAGGCTATTCCGCTCAACGCGGTAAGAAGAACACAAGAATCACAAAAGCCAATCACAAAAGCCAAGAATGGGGGTAGCGAGGTGGCTTCCCCACCCGTCCACACTACACCGCGCCGCTTCCCCCACCCTCATCTTTTGATATTCTTGCGTTCTTCTTAGCGCGTTGAGCGGAATAGCCCATTCTTGAGCAGTGACGTCAGTGATGCACAAATATCCCTCCACTCTGGTGTTAAAACGGCCTCGGGTATAATATCACTCTTATGTAATATGGGTCATAGTTTAATTACAGATGCGGGTACTTGTTTATCAAATTTCTTCTATATTTTCATGTCGTGCAAAAACGTTTAAAAGTCGGCCATCCATCACTTGAGACAGGGGTATGCACAAGTAGTATGGATAATTAAACTAAGCAGATGTACGCCAGACCACGTCTCGCGTAACTGGCTTCGTGATGTCTCACGAAACACTGTTACGCTGCGACACCCCTGGTAGACATCTACCTAGGCCTGCGAGTTGGTCACAGAACACAGTCTTTAATAGGTCTTTGGCCCCAAAAGACACTAATTTTGTTCCTCGGGGTTTCAGTTTGATTAGTTACCCCAACGGACACCATATAATATCTGAGAGTCAACATTAAAATGTTGTGGGGTCATTTTTGTGTGGAAAACGCCCTTTGGCAAACAAACGGTAAGAGATAGAGCTATACGGACCAAATTTTTGCGCACAGGGTTCTACTTTGATGAGTTACTCCTTCAAGAGGTGTGAATTTCTTTTTTCAAAAAAAATGTGTTTGGCTTTTTGATTTTGATTTTTATGACTCATCAATTTTTGAGCCAGAGGGCTCAAAATCAACACAGTTCTTCCTTTTTATGATACTACACTGTAAATTGCTTACGAACTATAGGTTCGTAATGCAAACCAAAACGTTCGTAGCTTACGAAGGATTTTGAAGCGTTGTATTACGAACTAATTGTTCGTAATCTTACGAACAAATAGTTCGAAATGCAAACCGATTGTTCGTTAGACCCGTCTAGCCTTACAAACAATCGCTTTGCAATAGGCCTACGAACAATTTCTTTGCAATACAAAGAACGGAAATTGTTCGTAACGTTGCAAAGCATTTAGTTCGTAAGCTTTTCGCAGTGTAAGTTACAATAAAAATGAGAGCCTTTTAGCTAACACCGTTTTCGAGTTATCGTGCGTATACAGACAGACGAGCAAACAAACAAACAGACACACGCGAAACTTTATGATCATTACTTGAGTAATAAGCTTCGCTAATCGCTCAGCCAATAATTCTGGGGTGTGTTTATTTTTAACTAATTTACTTATTATTTATTCCATAGATGAAGAAGGCAATTGGGAAAATCCACCTCCTTTTTCAAAATTAAGCCATGAGTAGGTGTTCACTGTTGGACTAAAAAAAGTCGAATACACCGACCTTATGCCCCTAAACGGTACATATCACTTAAATAATAATAATATCATAGATCTTTTGCAGAGCTGGCAATTAAGGGATGCGCTAAAACACATGTAGCCATTTTCAGCCTCCCTAGCCTTGCCCTCGAGTGCATGAAGTACGGATCCGAAGGCTGGTTCAACTCCAATGATAAAACCATTTTCAACGACCTGTGGATTGTCCCAACAAGAATAAATGAAGGTCACTGGATTGTTGTCATAGACCTGGTGAGGACCAAAACAATTATAATTATAAACTCATTACATTACATGACAGGGCAGACGAGTGCACTAAGAAGCAAGTGACGGTAACATTTTTACACATTTTCTCTCGTTCCCTGCCCAATTACTATGTGTCATTGTGCTATTCTTAACTTTCTAAATACCAATGTACCTCATGCATAAAAGCTACAAAGATATGTTACGCACCAACATTGACTAGAGCTTATGGAAATTTATTTTTCCAAAAAACATCCCCAAACAACATAATACCTACGACTGTGGCTTATATGCATGCATCTATGTGCATTGTGACCTTACAAAGAAAGTACCACGAAATAAGTCATTACCAAGCATCATGATGCGTAGGTGGCTGATAAACCACCTCCTTCAAAATAGTGTTGTTGAATGAGTCCACAACCCAAGCCTGCCTGTGTAAGTGTTTAAAGGAGGAAGGACCTTTTTTGGAGGATATAATTCTCATTTTTAATGTAACTTAGGAAAATGGCGCAATAGTTCACACTGGAATTCACGGCTGGAATGAACTTAATTTTGACACAATAATAGCCAGTTAGACTTATTGATGGAGGGACGGTAGCTAAGTAGCTGGCTGCAGGTTTAGCTTGTCGCGAGCCAGACTAGTGGGACGCCTGGTCACATTGGCACCACTGATAAAAGTGGGCTGTGAAGTACAACTGACTTCTGAGCTCTCATTGGTCGACTGTCATTTGTTTCACACCTTGTACTGTACATCCAGGGTACAGATAACAAGGTAGATGTACGCCAGACCACGTCTCGCGTAACAGGCTTCGCGATACCTCACGAAACACTGTTGCGCTGCGACGCGCCTGGCATACATCTACCTTGGCCTGCGGCGCTGACACCCGAATCGGGTGGTTAGGAAATGTACACAAAGACACGGGCCTACGGCCCATCACTTCTACTGAGCATGCAGGGTTGTACATAATGCCTATTTTTCGTCAAAAATACCCTCTAGCGCCTCAGCGGCTTGAGCTAAACCAAAATGGACGAAATTTTCGTCCAAAGGGTTCTACTATGATGAGTTACACCTTGGGAAATCATAAAAAAATATTTGTGAAAAACGTCATTTTTGGGACCCGTTATTTTTGATTTTTGTTTACATCCAATTTTTGAGCTAGAGTGCTCATCTTCGAACTCGATCTGCCTTTCTGTGACACAAAACGACCCTGAAAATCCCAGGTCGCAAGCTCAATCCATTTTCGAGTTATCGTGCGGACAGACACACAGACAGACGGACAGACAGACAGAAAATGCTTTTCCCGACCAGACGGAGTAATAAGCTTCGCTAATCGCTCAGCCAATAAACCATCTTGGTGTATTCCCCGTTCAAGTGTGTTCACTCTGCGTTCCTTGTCAATCACAAATTAAGAATCTTAACTATCCAAACACAGAATAGAACATAGCTGGCACAGGCTGACGACAAGAACATTGGAGTTAGCAGTTATTCCGGGATGTTTGTTTTTTATATTGTAGGGAATTGCGGCTAGCCCGAGGCCGTGGGGCTATCAAAAATAGCTCGCCAGTTACGTGCGAGCGTACGTGCGTCAGTTTATTCGCAACGCCGAAACAACCCGCAAAATAGAGAAAGCTATGTATATTTGGAAAGATGAGAGTACGGGAATTATTATTCTATAAAGATAAGGGTACTTTAAATACAGAAACGAAGAAGTCAGTCGCAGCTCAGACTGACTGCCAATAGCCAACGTCGTTAAGTCGTTTAGCCGATTTCGAAGTAACGGTAACCGCCCGATGTGACTTGAAAATGTAAACAGCACTCCGGCGGTAACGGCACTGTTACCCAAAACTAAAATTTTGCTGTTCTCCTCGATTATATTCTTTATCCCAGTATGATGGAGGTTGGGAGATGCAATCATCTTTTGAGAATCGCGTTACTGATTAGTGTAGGGGAAACTGGTGAATATGAAGATAACCGTGATGCCAATGAAGTTGATGAAATGGTGAGTTGCCTCATTGGCTGAGCGATTAGCGAAGCCTATTACTCCAGTGATGATCAAAAAGTTTCGCGTCTGTCTGTTTGCCTGTGTGTGTGTTTGTCGTCACGATAACTCGAGAACGAATAAAGCATTCCGGTAAAGCTGAAATGCAAAAGAATGCGGGGAAGAAGAAAACGGATATCGCTATGCTTTAACATGGTGACTTCCGTTTTCTTCTTCCCCGCATTCTTCTGCATTTCAGCTTTACCGGAATGCTTTATTGGCCGAGCGATAAGCGGAGCCTATTACTCCGTCTGGTCGGAAAAAACTTTTTCTGTCTGTCTGTGTGTCTGTCCGCACGATAACTCGAGAACGAATTGAGCGAGCGACATGAGATTTTCAGGGTCGTTTCGTGTCATAAAAAGACAGATCGAGTTCGAAGATGAGCACTCTAGCTCAAAAATTGGATTTTAACGGGTTCCGAAAATGGCGTTTTTGAAAATATTTTTTTTGTTTCCTAAGGGCTAATTTATCAGAGAGGAGCCCTTATGAGCGAAAATTTTGTCCGTTTTGCTCTAGCTCAAACCGTTGAGGCGCTAGAGGGTAAATTTGACGAAAATAAGCGAAAAAATGTACAACCCTGCATGCTTAGTCGAGGTGATTGGCCGTTGACGGACCGTAGGCCCGTACCTTTGCGTACATTTTCTCACTTCCCGACTCGGGTTTCGGCGCCGCCGGCCAAGGTAGATGTATGCCAGGCGCGTCGCAGCGTAACAGTGTTTCGTTAGGTATCGCGAAGCCTGTTACGCGAGACGTGGTCTGGCGTACACCTACCTTGTAGAGCTTGCGACCTGGCATTTTCACGGTCGTTTTGTGTCATAAAAAGACAGATCAAGTTCGAAGAAGAGCATTATAGATCAAAAATTAGATTTTTAAAAAATCAAAAACCACAGGTCCCACAAATAATGTTTTTAAAAATATTTAATTTTGCAGTTTCCTAAGGGGCGCCTCATCAAAGTAGGGCCCTTTGAACGAAAATTCCGTCCGTTTGGCTCTATCTGTAACCATGTAGGCGCCACAGGGAGTTTTCGACGAAAATAAGCGAAAAATCTAAATCAAGAATCTATCTTGAAAGCAGCTGATACAAAATTTAAGAATATGTCTGTTTTCAAATTTTCTCCCGGATTTAGCTGTCATTTGTTTCTGGTTGCTGGATATTTGCAATTTCATTGAACAAGCGGCGTTCAAAAGCGCGGGCACAGGGGCCGGCGTCGGATAGTATTGTTGTGCAGGGAGGGGGACGGGGAGCCGATAGTATTGTTAAGCGGGGTAAGGGTAGGGGCCTGAAGCGACACTCACTCAGGCACCCACCCGCCCGGACATGGTTCCGCCAGCGCTAAAGAAATAGTTTTCTGGTCTCCGCTTGATTCTCTTGCCGTTTCGAGAGTAAAAGCTAGCTGACACCCGTATATTCTTTACGTTTAGTCAAAAGGATTTTAAGGTATCATCTGCTAAAAATGTACAACCCTGCGTTCTTAGTCGAGGTGACGGGAAGTTAACGGGCCGAAGGCCCGTATCTTTGTGTACATTTTTGAGCTCCCCAAATCGGGTGTCAGCGCCGCAGGCCTAGGTAGATGTAGGCCAGGCGCGTCGCAGCGTAACAGTGTTTCGTGAGATAACGCGAAGCCTGTTACGCGAGACGTGGTCTGGCGTACATCTACCTAGTTGATCTCTGGTTGCCTTTTGGAGGAGAGGCGGGAGTAATTTAACAATAGGGTATTCCGCTGCAGGCCAACCGGAACCTAAAGAAGAAAAGCATGACTGCTCGATCTGTTTCCCTCTGCGCGCTCATTGGCTGACCGCCACAGCCACGCCATCTTTGGCCAATCAGCGTTCAGGAGGAAACAGATCGGGTAGTCATGCTTTTCTTCTTTAGGTTCCGATTGTGTTGTAGCGGAATACCCTATTCCACACACATTGCTTATATTTGTCAATCTCCTATGTTTAAATGAATATTGTCCTCGTATGAAGCTCAAAGTGGACACCACACATTCAAAAAGCATTTTCGAATGAACAGATGCACTTTTGAATTATGTTTTAAGACTGAGTGAGTTCTGCGTTATCGGCTGAGCGATTGGCGAAAGCCTTTTACTCCAGTGACGATCAAAAAGTTTCGCGTCTGTCTGTTTGTCTGTCGTCACTATAACTCGAGAACGAATTGAGCTAGCGATCTGGGATTTTCAGGGTCGTTTCGTGTAATAAAAAGACAGATCAAGTTCGAAGAAGAGCATTCTAGCTCAAAAATTGGATTTTAAAAAAAATCAAAAACTACAGGTCCCTAAAACGACTTTTTTTAAAAAATATTCTTCACTGTTTACTAAGGGGTAATTTATCAAAGTAGAGGCCTTTAGGGACGAAAATTTCGTCCGTTTGGCTCTATCTTTAACCATATAGGCGCCACAGGGAAGTTTTAGACGAAAACAAGCGAAAAAATGTACAACCCTGCATGCTTAGCCGAAGTGACAGGAAGTTGACGGGCCGGAGGCCCGTATCTTTGTGTACATTTTAGCGCTACCCGACTCGGGTGTCAGCGCCGCAGGTCAGGTAAATGTATGCCAGGCGCGTCGCGGCGCAACAGTGTTTCGTGAGATATCGCGAAGCCTGTTACGCGAGACGTGCTCTGGCGTACATCTACCTACTATCTAACTACTTGTAGATCAACCTAAAACCTAACAAATTTCTACTTTTGTCCTCAGAATTGATAACAACCTTGGAGTTTGAATGTAAGTACCAGTTCCACAAAATAAAGTGCACGGCAGTGCCTCCAAAAGGGCAGGCTGTTGCGGGCTCAACGCATCATGCTCGCAGGTGAAAGAGCCCGCAAGAGCCCGCAAGGTAGATTGACAAGCCCGCACGAGCCCGCACATATTTTCAAGTCTAAAATTTTCATATTATTTCTAATTAAATTG